CAAGTCGTGACGCGTCTTGCTAAGTTAATACTTTTGAACTAACGGCTCACAAAATTTTTGAATTCCAAATTAAGTAACGAACTTCCTAAAATCCCGTTGAATTTGTGCTACATAAAGTAAATTCCTATCCTGATTGCCATAGTTGTTGAAGAAACACAATGCGCCAGAATGAAAAAAAGGTAAAGATAATGTGAAGTTTCCATGAAACACTTTTATAATAATCTAGCGAAAGAACTGAATTAATCGTACACTAAGTTCAACATGCCTATAATTACGTATAAATGGTTTTGTTCTTAATTCACCTAGTAGCACTATAGTGAGAGTAACCTAAAATCACCTTCATCACGTTGCCTAAAGTTACCTGAGCTATCGAACTCTAAAAGTCATGAAGAAAAGTAGATATTTGAATTTTACTTCTATAATTCATATTCATGTGATTGTTCCTAATAGAATGGCCAGTCTTCTTTCTCACTTAAGAGATGCTCTTTGATATTTCCATTACAATTTTCTCGTGGCTTTCCATTGTCAGCATTTGTAAGCCCGTGGAAATGTGCTCCATAGCTTGGAATTGCAATATCCATTCTAATACATGTTGATGATTGCAGTAAAGACCATGCGAGTGTTCTATGACGTTCTGCCGATTTACTCAACATGACGCAGTTGTTGATCACACAGAGATTTCATTGGGTTTCATTTATAAAACTAAAATTTTCGTGGCTTTTCCCAGTAAAATGGTCTTGTGCTCTTCATTTTGAAAGAACAGTAGGTTTATAGCTTGTTTAAGAGACATCACTCTTGATCACTCACCTTGAGATTTCGCGGTAAGTGATTGCCTCATAGCTAGAGTTCTTCGTCTGAGCTATTCTTAAATGTTGTTTACCATGCTTCTGGAGGTAGTGGAAAGCTTTTAATGTTCTGCAAGTGTAGCTTGAGCAAAGAAAAGCGTATCTAAAGTATTTGAGAAGGTTGTTACCAATACTGCGTTCAACACTAACATAACAACTCTTTCAAGTTCCGCTTCTGTAGCTGTAGTATCCACCAAAGCGAAAGCATGCCATAAAACATTTCTATGGTATTGAAAGTTCTTTATGACAAACATTCTGGATTGAGAGGCTTGAGATTGCAGCTTTTAGAAGTATTCGCCATAAGGTCTATAAATTCTACGAAAAATCGGAAATCAAGAACGAACTCTTAGTGAAATTCTTCCCAAAAATCTTCCATTCTACGGACGAGATAAGTTCAATAAATGCGATAAAACGAAAGTTTTAATATGTCGTTGCGAATCAAAGAAGAGCAATAAGCAAAAGTGACGTTTTGGTTTTTATTGGAATTGTAGTGAGTAGAATGAAACAGCCAAACTTACGAATACGTTCAACCATATCTGCTGAATTTAAGAATTCCAGTAGATCTGCATACATGTCATCACCCACAGCCTACCTTTGGAAATAATAGCAATGAAACGACAGGTATGGGGGTGATGAGTGCGCCATTTTGAATTGATGGCAAGGGAGAAAGTGACGCTCATCCACGTTTTACTAAGTTATTTCTGCACCACAGCTTATTTTATGAGAATATTCATACTCATCCAAAAATGCTTGAATATCGGCCACTTCTGCAGTTTTCATCTCCTTTTGGCAACCGTCTAAAAAACATGCTTGCAGATACGTATTTGAAAGCGCTTAACTAGTTTCGCTGTTAGCTGAAATCTCTTTTACTCCATGTTCACAACACGTTCGCATTACTACAAACTCCCTGAAAGAAGAAGCAATTTATTCTTTTGCAAAAGTTGCCTGTTTTTTAGTCTTTATTCCAACTCTTTTTCTTAATAAAGCGCTTTGCTTTCACTATGATCCTGTACATAATTCCTAATAAGACTCATTCCGGTATAGTCTATGTCAGTCTTGTTGATGATTGTTCACCACTGGAAATCATTTGTGGATATAAATCACACTTCACTTCTTTACAATTAACTTAAGAAGTATAATCTAAAAGTTTTTATATAATCTGTTTTGCCACATTATCACAAGTTGATCCACATTATCAAGTGTTTACTCATTTAGATAAAATCTGATAAGAACTACTTTATACTGTTGCGATGATAATAAATC